TCATAGATGAGAGAAGTGGTTTGGTATTCCTATTTTATTCAGAAACTGTTTTACTTTGAATCTAAAAACGTCTGCTATGATTAGGCAACTTTTAAATGCTGTTCATTTGCTCCGATACATTATATACTTCCGATTATTTTCATTCGAACGACGATTTTTTGCGTAGAATTCTTTGACCATTGCCTTATAGTTCTGCAAAATATCATCACATTACGTGTTGTCTTTTGAGCTTTTATTTCAAAAATCTAAAGCATTACTACGAAATACAAAAATTTCTTCACTTTCGGAAATATACTTTCCAAGAATTGCAATCAATTTACGTTGTTTATATGAAATCACTGTCGAATCCAATGAAACAAGAAATGTGCATTTTCTGAAAAAAAAAAAAATAAGAACATCGAACAACTGATAAGCAACGTTGCATTGTGTTGTTCATTAATTCACCGATTCACTATCATTCCAACAGCGAAATAGTCAAGTCGCATTTCAATTGAGTTGAACATTTTGAAGAGTGTTTTGTTTAATGCGCATAAAAGTGTGAGAATATTGAAACTAAGCACATAATCAATTTAATCTCAAATTGAGATTCTCAATCAAAGTGTTTTGTTGGAGGGAATTTATTCAATAAGCACAAGATTTTAATAAGAAAATTGAAACCAACATTCATTCCTTTGTCACAATGTTCGAGTTATCAATTTTCTTATTGAAATAATTGTAAATTAGTGTTGAATTAAGAAATATGAAGATTATCCTAATGATTTTGTGCTTTGGCACAATTTTTTGTGGCGCTCGAATGGTGGAGTCAGAATCGACATCGGATTGTAATTCTAATGAGCTCCGTTGCAACAATGGAGATTGTGTTCCGAAAGAAGCCGGATGTAATGGCGAATGGAATTGCGAGCAAGGTGAAGACGAAACCGATTGCGGTAAGTGGAATCGTATCAAGCTAAATTTTGGTTCAATTCACGATTTTGAAAGACTCTTTGTGATTAAAAACGAACACAAATCAACTAAGTGCAAAGATGCTGATAAAAGCATATCAGGAAGAGCCTAGCCTCGATTTCATGTATTACTTTACATTAAAGCCGTCAAATGACTGCTGCTAGCGACGTCTCACTGCAACAACGTTAACTACAGTTTACACCATGCACTTCTTCTTCTTTCTCTTAATTTACGCCACTTTTTTCTGTTGTGAGTATGTAGCTTACGTTGTCGCAGTAAGATATCGCTTCCGCACCATATGGAAAAAAGCAATCAAGACCCGGGAAAGGCCAACGAGCACCTGAGAGAAAGATCAGCCTGATTCCATTCACAGCTCTGGAATATCTAGCTGCTGATATGTTAACGTGTGTTTCTTGCAATTTTGTTCTTTGATCAATTTATGCTCCAAGTGTCTACCGTACTTTTGCTTAGTTTCATTTGTAACATAATGCTCATTGCTTTCTACGGTGACGTCTAATCAATGTACTGAATCGTTTATTTCCGATTTTTTTTTTAATCTAATGATCACAACAGAATGTCACGACAGATTTAATTGTGCGAATGGCCATAGCTTAATGGCAGACAATATGAATTCCTTTCGATTTTGATTTGGAAATCATTAAAACGTTTAAGAAAATTATTTGAAACTATTAAATTAGCTCTCTAAATGTGTGAGCTATTCAATCAAACTAAGTTTCCATTTTTTTCTCCTCGTTTTAGAATATTACAATTATTATTTAGACCATTATAAGGCTAAGTTATGTCCAGATGATAAATTTAGATGCAAAAGTGGTCATTGCATTTTGAAAGAATGGGCATGTGATGGTAAACGGGATTGCACGGACGGTTCGGATGAGGAACCGGAAATGTGCAGTAAGTCATATGATCATAAATGATTTCACTTTTTTTTTTCTTCAACTTGTTCACACAAAAAGTGTGTGTTTCTTACAGAAAATCGGCCTTGTGCTTGGGATGAGATTTCATGTGGCTCTAACGGCGAATGTATACCTAGGACTTGGATATGTGATGGAAAACAAGACTGTTCAAATGGATTTGATGAGTCCAAATGCAGTGAGTATTGATTGAATTTTTTATCGCTTTTAGTCGTAAACGTAAATTTGATGATAAATTTTTTTGAAAGCCCAAGACGAAGTGGACATTTCATTTGTTCCACTCAATGCGACCACTTTCAAGCCACCAACCGCTGATCTAGTCTTTGATATTCACAACATTTACCGAAGCGACAACTACAATCTGACCTGTTTAATCTCTGGAAATCCAATGCCTAATGTCACCTTCAAAAAACTGGGTGCAGATAGTTTTGGATTAAATGTGCAGCCAGATGGCAATGTTCTACGATTTTTCAACACACAATTTGACAATGGAGGTGTTTACCAATGCATAGCCGAATCAAATGGTGGTATTGACAAAGCCAATACGATCGTTAATGTGGAAGGTGAGTGTTTGCTCTCTGATAGCTTTTATTTTTGGGGAGCTTTAATTCTATTAATGAATTCATCTCAACACCAACAAATAATAATTTTTAACTAAGTTTCACATTAGATCAATGTCATTAACCGTAATAATTGAAAATACTTCATCATATAACATTTCCCGTAGCATTGGAAGAACTGAAGGTTGAGATTTATCCGCATGGACCACAAATTGTGCAAGAGGGCGAACATGTGCTACTCAAATGTCGAATTGTTTCTGGTAATCCGGGTGCAACTTTAGAATGGTCTCGACGTGATCAAGAGCCATTTTCATATCGTGTCGAAAAGATATCGAATGGCACAATTTTAATTTCGAATATAAAAGCAGCAGAAGCTGGTGAATACGTGTGCAAAGCTGTTGATGGCTCTGTAGCAACAATGGAAATAACCTCGATTGTCATTCAACCAACTCCAACTGTACAAATCACCATTTTTCCAAACGTTCAAGAAATTACTTTAACTGAGGGCGACCCATTGGATCTATTTTGCACTGCAAATGGTTCATCCAGTGTGACATGGCATACGATTAACACAACAACTCCGGATTATTCTCTTATGTCTTATCATTCGGCAACACTGAAAAAATTTACCATCAATCGCAATGATGAAGCGATCTACATTTGTCGTGCTGAAAACAAATTTGGATACACCGACAAACGGATCAAAGTTTTAGTTCAACCGAAAGTAGACGGTGAGTTGCCATCTCTTTTTAATATTTTTCGAATTTCCTATTATTATTTTTTTTCATTTTTTGAATGATTTTCTCTTTTTGTCTCACTCTTTTGTTAAATCAACAATTCGTTGTAGTGATCAATGTCTGTCAAACACATAAACCGTGCAAAAACAACGGCATCTGCGTGAGCCACGGCAGTAATTTCACCTGCGATTGTCGGATACATTACACTGGAGAGATTTGCCAATACAATGACCCAATCAAGTTTGCTAGCCAGTTCCGAGGCAATGGTTACATTGAATTGAATCGATCCGTTGTGGCAGCAACATCTCTCGGATCTAATATTTCACTGTCATTCCTATTATCCACTTCAGAACCGAATGGTTTGATAGTTTGGTATGGACAAAAGAAGGGTGAAGCATATCCATGGCTCTGGTCATCGACTGGACAAGATTTCGTGGCTCTGGCCATTGTCAATGGCTATTTGAAATATACAGTGCGTCTGTTAGGTCGAGAAAAATCCAACACACTGGACGTGCGAGTCGATGATGGAGAACGTCACGTTGTTATTTTAACACGATACGATATAAGTGTTCGACTTCAACTCGACGATTTCCGTGTAGACGAAGAAATTATAGGATCTGACGATGATGTTCTCTACTGGCCACCACTACAACTAAACGAACTCTTCATTGGTAAGAAAATTTCTGTTCAACTTTGGATTAGCTTCCAGTTTTCGTGCCGTGGATTAATTATTCAAATTCTGTTTGTAGGTGGTGCACCAGATATAGAAGAAATCACCGAAAATCGGTATATGCAAGGCTTCAACGGTAATATCTACATGATCGAAGGCACTGACGGGGCACCTGTCAACGTATATGATAACGCTGTCGGCGGATACAATGTTGCTCCATGTCATAATTTTGTTTGAAGTTAAGAATAAGATTAAAGTAAACATTTTATCATAACAAAACACGTGTAACTAGGAATAATTGTAAATAAAAACGTTAACATGCCTAGTTACTATACTATTTTCTCCCTTGAAATGCGTATTATCAATGCAATTTAACAAAGCTCCGATTCAATTTCTGCCTTAAACATTGCTCATTTTGGTGTATTCAAAAAGTGTCTGCTCTTGTTTGTGTAGCTCACTCTTTCGACCAATACCACAATTAAAGTGTGGGACATGATATGTCCAATACAATGAAAAATGGTTGAGATGAATAGGCTGTTCAGCAATCAGGATTTCTTTTTACATCATCAGCAATATTTTTAATACAGACTTATTGGAAAAAATATTAATGCGCAGTATGATGTCTAAGAAAGAAAAAAAATGAAAACTCGGCATAGATACGAAAAACATGTGAAGAAGATTAATCGCCATTCAAACGTCTCAATGCGATAAGAATATAGTTCAATCTTTTATATTGGAGGCTGTTGCAACATTTGCGAAACATAGTCAATTTTTTGAGTTTCAGTTGAATTTTGGCTGTAATCCAGTTTTGAAGTTATTTAATTAATGTCTATTTTTATTAGTGTTTTTGAATAAAATTGAAATAGTTGAGTTCATTTTCAGTGAAGGTGAACATTTAAAAAAATGAAATTATTTGTGTTAATTCTGTGCCTCGGCACAGTTTTAGCTATTGGTATGTGATGCTTTTACAATTTGTTTTTGGTTTTTTTTTTCGATGAAACATAAATTACGTCAAATTAATTGATATTTAAAATGTAATCACACAAAATTCATTTGTGAAAAATGTAAATATGTTAAACTTTTATTATTATTAGATTATAATGAATATGACTACGAAGATGACGGCGATAGAGCAACTGAACTTGTAAGAATTTTAAACTTGTATCAATTTAATGGAATTTAAATTAAAAAAGAAATGTTTTCCATTTTATTGAACAGTACGAGCAAACATCCATATTACCTCCTCCAAATGAGCTGATTCTATCGCCATCAGATGGTGGCATCATGCAGGACACATACTCGATTCCTCAAAGCATAGATTTCAGTTTGACTTGTGAAATGACTGATAATTCACTACCAGATGTTACTTTTCAAAGAGTTGGAGAGGACAGTCTTGGCTATAATGTACAACAGAATGGTAATGCCCTCAGATTTTACAACATCCAACCTCATCATCGGGGTATTTATCAATGTACATCTGTATCAAATGGTCAGATAGTTAAAGCTAGTACGATTATTGATGTGTTTGGTAAGTAAAATTTCGAATATGATTTAATGACACAAATGTGATGGTCTCTTTCATTTGCAGTGCTTGATCGTACAGAGGTCAAAATCTATCCACCTGAACCACAAGTGGTGCAAGTAGGAGACTACGTAATACTCAAATGTCGAGTCGTCTCTGGAAATTCATCACGAACATTGAAATGGACACGCAATGATCCAAAACTACTATCAGACCGCGTCGAAGAAAAAACTGATGGCACCATTTTGATTTCAAATATAACAGCTGCTGAAGCTGGTGAATATGTGTGTCGTGATGAATATGGAAAAATAAACGAAACCACCACAATAACCATTCAACAAACCCTTTCGATCGGTATTTTACCGAATTTGCCCGAAATTACTCTAGTCGAGGGTGATAAATTGAATTTGTATTGTTTTTCTGAATTTTCATCCACTCTAAAGTGGTACAAACTCGATTCTACAGATCGATATAAACCTATGGAAGAATTTCATTCTGGTATACAATATTCGGCAACGTATATAAAGCACAATGTCAGTCAAAATGATGAAGGAACATACATTTGCCGTGCCAATAATAGGAATGGAAGAACTGAAAAACAGATTAAAGTTTTAATTCGACCGAAACAAAACGGTGAGTTATTTCCGCCAATTAAAAACTATCTATAGTAAACGAAAGCTTTTCAAAAATGTAACAAATAAAATCCAAAGATTGTAAGGAGAAAGTTCAAATTACTTTCTTTTTATAAAATAGATTTCATAATGGATTCTACTATGCATCTATGTGAAAATAATGGTATTTACGAAACCAACGACGGATCGTGCAAATGTCCAATCCATTTTACTGGAAGATTTTGCGAACATTTTACACCGTCCGTATACTCCAGCCATTACAAAGGAAACAGTTACATTGAATTGAACAGCTCAGCTGTTGTTGGAGCTGAATTTCAATCTGTCATATCATTTGGTATGGTCTTTCGCACATCTGAATTAAATGGTCTATTGGTTTGGTACGGACAAAATGATGATAAGGCATTCGATGTACAAGACTGCATGGCATTGGCTGTCGTCGACGGTTACTTGGAATTTTCACTGCAGTTGGATGGTCAAGAAATGACTATCAAGAGCGAAAAAAGAGTTGATGATGGAGAAATGCACCAGGTTGTAATTAAACGCGACGGTAAAGAAGCTACACTTCAAGTTGGATTGAATGACATAGGTCGCAAAACGATTGAATCACTTCGGAATTTCAGCCTTTTGACCGGCAATATTTTCATTGGTAAGTGTGGCTGACTTTATATTTGCTCTCTCTCTCTTTCTCTCTCTCTCTCTCTCTCTCTCTCTTTGAATTTTTATCGTTTTCTGATTTTTATTATCTTTATCAATAGGCGGTGCTCCGAATATCAACAAATTAACCGGTTACCGTTATAAACAAGGATTCAAAGGTTGCATTCACCTTATACAATCCATGCAAGATTCATCATTGCAAGATGTTGACATCCACAGCAGTGTTGTCGCTGGATATGATGTTGATTCGTGTTCTATTTTCAACTAGGAAAAGACATTTCCTTTTCAAAACAAAGAAATCAAAGACAAGAATTTTTAATGGAAAAAAATCATTTCTTCTGTTAAATTCATTGAATAATAAAGATTTGTTTCCAACTAAAACTCAAAAGTCTACGTTTTTCTGTCTTTTAAATCGAAATTTTCATTTTTCTACTGTTGGTATACTGAAGTTTCCTTCGCAAATGACTCGATCACTATTCATCATCGAATCTAGTACAACATGTTGATTTCTATTTCCCAAAAGTTTCCATCTGATTTGTACAGAATGAGTTTATTTTGAACAGTTTCTGATATATTCGATGTTAAAAAATCCAAGTCTGCTTTGGAACTGATGTGCATATTTATTACTTTCGACGCGTATCACTCACAGCTGTTTACACTCTCATTAATGAAGCTGTTGCTAATTTGTGCAAATGGTTTTCCAATAACCGTTATTAAAAATGCGAAGAAAAGAAAACAACGAATGTTTTCATTCAAAATTAATAAATTCCCGGATAACGGTCCAATTGAACGTCTAGCCAGTGTTTATTATTGTAAGTTATTAATGGTGATCTTGAATGTACAGATGCAAGAAAATCTTTAAAATTCAGATTGGCTCTAAAAGCGAACACAAAGAACAATTTAAACAGTTTTAAGTCTTTTCTTGACATAAAACTCAAATTTGGATCATTTTTGAGATAAAACGTTTGATTTTACATTAGTTGATAATTTTGGAGTATATTTGAAAGAAATCAGCTGTTAATGTACGTCCTTTGATGAAATCATATTCAAATTTATTCAATTCAAAGATTGAATACATTGTGACTTTGTTCATTTCAGAAAATGTGTGTCACATTCACAGTGATGATGCCTATCGCGTTTTGAATGACTTTTCGTTTCCTTTCGATGTGAATTTAAGAGATAAGAAGGTCAAATAGAGACTCTGTCATATGTATGCCTTGAATGTAATATCAATTTTGTAAGTACTTACTGCCACTTACACGCACATAGTCGGCAGTAAAAAGAGTAAACAATGAAGTACGCTTGATTTGCTTTGTGTTCAAGGTTTTGATTTCGCGCATTTCAATCGAATGATTGAATTTTGCATGATAGTGAAGTAATTTGGTTAATGTGAATCTACGATTTAGTCAAATTTAAAAGGATTTGAAACCATTGAAAAATGAATTTCGTTGGAAATAGACACAATTTTGCGTTGATTTGGTGTTCTCTAACAATTTTGTGTGGACTTCAAGCATTGGAATCGAATGAAGGTAAACAATTTTTTGTTTTTAGAGAGACATTAAGAGAGGCTAAAACTTGTCTTACAAAATGAAGAGCAAAAAAGGGCTCCACCAATTTAAGTGGAAATAGCAGAGATCTAATTTAAGGCAGGAGTAAACCAAGCTTATCCGAGAAAAGTTATCCTCCTTATGCATTGCCATGGTTTCAAATCGTTCATTTTCCGTTTATTTTTCCATAAATTCATACTGTAGCATTGGATTACGTGGCGATACCGAGCGAATGGTATACAGTGACGCATGGTACGGATTTCAATGTGACCTGTGAAGTGTCCATGAGTTCAATCAATGTCACCTGGAAGAAAATGTACGAGGATAGCCTTGGTATAAATGTACAACAAAATGGTAATACTTTGAAAATCGTAAATTTTCAGCCAGAAAATCGTGGTGTTTACCAGTGCTTGGTTAATTCAAGTTTGGCAGTTGATGGTGATCACACAGTTATTGATATGAATCGTAAGTGTTTTCAAAGCCATTTCCGTAGATGAACTCTGTCAATTTGTTTCCGCGAGCGATTCTATATGCCTTTGTTGACTCAATTGTTTATTTTCAAATGGATTCATTGCCTTTGTTTGCATAAAATCAGGATTTTTTTTTTTTAAATTTAAATTCAAATCAAATTTATCAATTTAAAACAATGCGTATTCGTTATGCGTTCGATTCAACAAAATTTAAACTCAAGCACTTAATTTGACTGATTATAAAAATTTCCTTCAAAGCTTTCGAGGCACCGCAGATTGAAATCCAACCGGCTGAGGTACAAATGGTGCAAGAAGGTGAAGATGTTCTGCTTAAGTGTCGAGCCGTTACTGGAGCACCAACACCAACTTTGAAATGGGTGCGTCGTGATCGTTTGCCGCTTCCACCGCTCACACAAGAGAAATCACCGGGTACAATTTTGATTCCAAATATTGCTGTCTTTCATGCTGGTGAATACGAATGTCAGGCTTCAAACACGGTTGGTGTTGCCAATAGGACCACCACAATAATTGTCACAGCGTCTACTCTGGATGTTGCTATTGTGCCAAATTTAGAAGAAATCACCGT